CAATTAAAAATTACCAGACTTTTTAAAAAGTAAATAGACTAAGAAGAAATTCAGGACCCAGCAGTTGTGTTAAATGGTAAATCTAAAGAAAAAGATGCTGAACCAAGGCGAACAAACGATGCAATAGATTCAAGATATGCAGAGGAGAGGCAATCAAGCTCAAGACAATTGCACTCACCCAAATGGGTTGCAAATGCCTTTGTTGTCAGGGTACATAGGACCCAAGCCCCGATGGGGTGCCTCAACCCCAGGATACTGGTATGGAGCTCTACCCCGTGCCATACTGCAACAGGATTGTGACTTCTATGGTCAAATGACAGTTTATCTCAAATTTAAAAGATATTTGTCCACTGATTAAATCTGAAATAATGAAGCATAGTTAATCAGCTAAGTATAAAGATTAACCATGTGAGAATTGTCTTCTGACGACTTCAATTCACTCTTTGCATAAAACATCTATAACATAAACTATGTAAATCAATAGTATTCCTGCTCTGAATCAGAGGAAGTGGTTATGTAGACAGAGGAGAAACATGCTGACTACTCCCCCAAGTAACAAAGTTTTAATATTTTTCTTTCAAAAAAGTACAGAGGGGAGAAAAAATTCACTTTTTCATAATTAACTACATTAGGTGTGCTGCATTCTAAGACAACCGAAAGATACTTATTAAACACGTATTGAGAATTTAAGAAGTAAAATGAGATTATAGTTACCTGACGAGGGGTGCCATCCCTGCAATGTTTTGGCTCATGTCCCTTCACTTTACCATGCCTTAGCTTCGACAACTAAATTATTCTCTTCTCCTTAGAGACAAACAGCTTTTGGCGCTAAAATTTTTTAAAAAAAGAAAGAAAAAGGACTCACATTAAAAAGTAAAGTGTAAATTGTCAAACAAATATAAACACAAAATCATCACATGAAAGGCACATGCCTTTAACATTCAGAGATATAAGACACATAATTTATCCAGGCATGCGTAACCAATTGTATGAAATACAAAAGATCAAATGACAGGTAATCAGGTGAAAAAGGAAATGCAGAGAGATTCATTGACTCAAAACAATTTACCCTACGATAAAAATAGGATAAAATGGAAGTACGTTTTAATGAACAGCTTATGAGGAGTTATTTAGTTCCATGCAATGGAATAGTCTACAAATGTGCAGGTGATATGGCTGAGATTTGCCATTTTCAAGACCATGGTCTAATTTAGGGTACCATGTAGTAATACCAGGATACAACAGAAAAATTAAAACTTTAGGCTTTGAACAAAACCAAACAACTATTCGACTAAATAGCTAAGAACTAGTAATCATGACCGGTTTAAGAGAAGACCGGCCTTGGATAAGAAGCGGCCAAATCAACAACATAACCTCAACCAAACATCATAACAGGACGGTTTTCTAGCCAACTGTAGATTCATTTCGAAGAAAATTAACACTGGTATCTATATATTTACTATACGGCAAATACAGTATACTCACTTTTGCATTTTAACTGCAAATTCCAACACAAGTACTCAGCATTTGCCACTATTTTTCCGACCGACAAACGAAGGTACCTCGAGCGCTCCCGGATGAATAAAGAATCCGAAAATCGCAGAAAGGTCATAAACCCGATTTGCTGATGTGGGGCAACATACTATCAGCAATATAGTTAAACCAACGAAAATCAAAACAAATTCTTAAATTAATTTCGAAAGCCCAAACACACGCTACTTTCATGTCGCCATCTTTCAATGATTTACATACAGAGGTCGCGCTAGTCGTGGGGGTTCCAAATATGTATTTTTTTACATGTCTGCTGTCGAGTCGGAAAACCGGCGTACTCTGCGGTCTTGTGATTATTATTTTAGTAGGTTTCGAAAGCACTGATTATAAACTTACAGTAGAATTACATTCCCAAACCGTACCGATAAGCCAAAAGTCTCTTCGATTTTCTTATTTTATAAAAGTTGGTAAAATAATATTAGGGAACCATAGGGGCATAGGGGAGAAACCGGAGAAACGAAACATTATTAGTTCCGGGACCCAGAAATATCTTTTCTCCTAAAATTGTTCTTTTGTTGTACGAAATCTTTATTTTACTACTGCTTATACTACTACTATTGCTATAATCTCCCACCCTATCAGAAAATGAAGTGTTTTCTCTCGCATCTCTCTCGCTCTGTCTGTCTCTGTCTCCGTTGATCCAAAACGGACAACTACCCCCTTGTGTAACCCGTCAGCCAGGTTCGTAACCTGTCAGTCTCACAGTTATTTGGTCTACATAACGGACGCTCACTTCTATGTCTAATTAATAGACAATCGGAAAGACGAACCCAAAATAACTCTTTATCCCACCAAGTAAACATGGTTTTGATTCGTTTTTCGGCGTAAAATCTTCTTGCTGATCTACAGTTATGTCTTCTAGTGCTGTGTACATGTTGAGGTAATCCGGCCTCGTCAACGAGTGCAATAGGACCATCAAGACTTCAACATGAGCAAAATTCAACAACAAAATAAAAGGTATTAGTTTGTTTTTCAATTAATTGTCCCAGTTTTACTCAAACGTTTCCTTTTCTATGTCATTGCCCCATTATTTTTTACCACTTTAACCTGAAAATGTGTTAATATAGATCAACATTTTATAAGTCGTCAACCATAATCTAGTTTTGTTTCTGCTCGTAGATACTGAAAACAACTATGTTTTTTAAATCAATTAATTCTTCATTTCTTTTTCAGCGCTACCCTGTCAGGGAGTGTAAGCACCACCCTCAACAGTGCGTTTCAAACATGCAGCGATACGAGTGATGCTGTGGAATTATTTGTTCCTCAGCAACTTTATGTGAAGCCTGTTGCCAAATTAAATGTTTCCGTACAGCTTCCACAGTTAAAATTACCTGGTAAAACCATATCAAATTGGGAGGTTATGGAAAAGTTGAAGACCATGGTGAAACCAGTTCAATTCACTGTTCTGAAAGTTTCAAAGAGCACGTTAGAATTTATCAGGTGTGCAAATTTTTTTTTAACTCTGAAAAGAAAAACTAAAGTAGTGTTTATGAAAGTTGTAGTTAATTTTTGATAGTATTTTGTTGTTTTGAGGTTCTTTGAATCTTTGACATTAATATCTCAAATATTTCTCTTGTAGATTTGAAGGAGAAATAGAAAACAAATCAAATTTGAATGAAGTTGTCTCCCGTTTGGATGGCAGAACAATAAAGTTATCAGGCTTTTCAGAGCTCTTAAAAATAAGAGCAGCAGAAGCAAAGGCAAGATTTAAATTATTCACTGAATTAAAATAAAATGTTAACTGTTTCTTATTCATGGGTTTGATTCCTATTGCAGAGTTCTTTTCCCACCCGCCATACTTGGGACTCATATTTTAGGGATGCTAAAAATATGAATGAAATGAAACCAGGGGAACGACCGGACACTATACACCTCTCTAATTTGCCCAGTCGCTGGTTTTCATCCAGACAAGAAAATGGCAGAGGGAATGATAAACCTAGTGAATATGTTTTCAAAAAGGTATGATTGGAAGTGCAATTTTATTAATATGTTTCAAGAAGTTTTGTTGGTTGTTCTTTTTCTCAAGGTATTTATTTGCAACAGGTGTTTGAACAGTTTGGTGAGGTTCGCTGTGTTGACATACCAATGCTGGACCCATATAGAAGTCAAATGAAAGCTCATATTTCTGGTTTAAAAACCTTTTCTTTTGGACAAGAACTTGCTTTTGAAGGATACATTCAATACCAGGAATATGTTTGCTTTGTGAAAGCTATGGATGCTCTTCGTGGTATGAAACTTCTTCACAAAGAGGGTGATAAAGCCTTCACTGCCAGTATTAAGGTATAAAAAATGAAAGAGTTTCCATACATTTATTCATACATGCATACCTACATCCATACCTACATCCATAACAGCTAAAGTCTGTTAGGGTCGAGGACCAGCTGATCTCTATCCCTACATCTTTGTCTCATCAGTGTCTGTCTGAATTCTAGGTTGATTTTGATCGTACGAAACACTTAAGTGAGGCATCCATTCGCAAGCGACGGGTGGAAAGAGAGAGATTAATGGCTAAAGAAAGAGAACTTGAAGAGCAAGAGAGACATGCGAGGGAAGAGGCTGAAAAACAGGCAGAACTGATTAGGTACTAACATGATAGTACCCACTTGCAACAAATCTTACCTATATGGTCTTCTTATTAAAATTCTTGTTTATAAAATCTATGTACATGTATCTAGGAAAAAAGAAGAGGAAGAACAGCAAATAAAAGCACAGGTAGCAGAAGATCGTAGACAGCGTAAGGCCGAACGACATCAAGCTCGCCAATTACGTAGATTAAAGAGAGAAGAAGCTCAACGCATGAATTACAAAATTGCTGTGGAGGAGCGAAAGTTACTCATTGCCCAAAGAAAACTGGAGAGCATCAGGCTTCTCGATGAACTTTTTGAGCGAGTTAAGGTACGGTTTCAAAAACTGGCATTCACACAGTCCTTCAAAGAGTTCATAGAAGAATTTACCCTGATTCTTAAATGGTTTGTCCTTTAGGTGATAAGATTGCAAGAGACAAAGAAGGAGAGTGTTAACCAGCTTAAAGAAAGTAATCCAGAGAAAGATGAAAAGGTCAGTCTCTTCTTCAAATTTTGCGCTTCATATTTATGACTCTCCATGTATCATATGCTTACACATTTTAATCTTAGGAGGATATGGAGAAGAAAGAACGAGAACTGAGATCAAAATTAATGAAGAAATACAAAAGCATGCAAGAACTCCAGCTCAAAGGGCAGCAAGAGAAGTTGCGTCAAACAGTTGAAAGTAAGTTCCCATACATACAAATAACTTCCCGAAAACTGCCTATTTTTGTCTTTATCACATCTATCTTTACTCTTTATATAGATAGAGGCAAAGTTCGCAGTGTGTTAACACCTACTGTAAGTAAAGAAAAAGATGCTACAGAATCTGATGGTTCAATTTCTTCCTCATCAAGCAGTGAACCCTCCGGAAAAGAATCGGATAAAAGGGCAAAGACCACAGGTAATCACTGGTTCATTCAAGTAATACTGCAGAGGGGATTTTTTCAGGGGAGGGGGGGCTAGCTACAAATATCAAGACCATCTCATTGGGTTTAGAATCAGTATTGGAGTACAAATGTAGTTGGGTCTCTATGAACCCTAAAGATAATCCTGAACCTAATGAGGAGATCATGATAATAGTTTAGGCTCCGTTAATTACTGAGGCTGCATTTTCACTTTACTTATTTCTTTTAGGTATTAAGAAAGGTGATGTTGTTTCAGAGAAATCTGAAAATGCAGCAAAGCCATGGTTCAATCCAATGAATGCTCACTCAGCTGCAGGATTATTTCCTATGGATTTTCATGGAGGTCTCATGGGGTTGCAGCCTCCTTTCACTGACAGGTTGTTCATGAATCTTTAAAAGTTATTTAGCAATTGTGAAGCTATGTATTCTCTTTAAGAAATTCTAACAAATTTTGCCGCATAGGTTTCCATACCCCCAAGGAGGATCTGGTCCAAACCGATGGCCTCGTTGGCCGCGTTATCCGCGTGGTCGCGGTGCCTTCATGATGCCCAACTACTACTATGGAATGTCTGATGACTACTACAAGTACTTCAGTAAGTTGGCCGGACAGAGCGGCCGGAGTCGTTCTCACAGTCACAGCCGGTCTCGGAGTCGCTCGGGCAGTCGCTCTAGGACACGGCATAGGCGCCGTTCTCGTAGTAACTCTAGATCTAGGAGGAGCAGAAGTAAATCAAGGTATTGAATATTTTAATCAGGGCTGAAATTTTAAGATTTTTTCTTTCCTTGAACTTTTATGTTTCTGTCCAGACGATCAAGATCCAGCCGACGGTCAAGATCACGAAATCGTTCTAGAAGATCTCGTTCTAGATCTAGGTCTAAGTCCACCACAACTCTCAGAGGAAGGGATAGAAGTAGATCCCAATCAAAATCAAGGAAAACGGAATCTACTTCAAGATCAGCACATTCTCCTCACAAATCCCACTCAAGCTTTCAAAAACATGTTGCAGCTAAAGACCAAGCCGTTACATCTTACCCGAGATCAAACCAAAGAAGTCCCACCCTGTCTCCTAAAGCAAAGTCTTCGTCCCGCAAACGAGGTGTCACTGTCAATCATGACAGTTCTAAACCTTCACTTGTGTCAGAAGTTGTGCCAGTCCTTTCAGAGAATGGAACCAAAATGTGTACAATACAAAGTAAAATAATGGAGGTTGAAGGTAGTAAAAAGAAGAAAAAGAAACACAAGAAAGAAAAGTAGAAACTATTACTAATATGACTGATCTTATTTTTTTAATTTGCATCCTTAAATTTTAAGACTGGGATCTGTATCTTGATACAATCATTTTATGGACTGTGATACCTCATCTTGTAATGTTTTATTTACCCATTGAGTTGGAAAATTGTTGAGTGGTTGAAATGAAATTTCCATGATGGTTTTGAAATGTTTATTTTTTTTTTCCATTTTTCTTCCATGTGAAAAATTTGTAGTTAGTTTTCAGAAGTTTTAGTACATAGGTACTTATCAAATTAATACTTGAAAGTTCATACAATTTTACATGAAGCATTTAAATTTCCCCTTTCTCTTTACTACTGATTACAAAGATGGTATGGGGCACTTGAAAATGCTAATGGCTTCACAACTTTGGCTTGACATGCTAAAGAAAAGGTCATAAGGACTGATTACAGAAATGTATTACAAAATTGCCCTGAGGATTTACATGAAGATTCTTTCTCACTTTAAACAAAATCCCAATCAGCACCATTGTAAGAGTACGGAGCAAGATGAAGGGACAAGCTTCCATCATCTAAATCACTTATGGAGAATTACAAATTCATACAAGTCTTTGGCTGCAAGCGCTGAGCACCCAGCCTTCACGCTTTATCATACAGTTCACACAATCTGGAAACTTCCAACATAATTAAAAATTATCAGTCTATTCATTCATATCACTTGGCAGGAGAAACTCATGCAGAGTTTTAGAGAGAGGTCTCATTGAAGGCATATGCAACTATACATCCAAAATCATGAACAAAAACATTTTACTTGACAATTCTACCAAACAAGTGGCAAAGAAAAAAGAAAAATTGTACGTCAATAACGAAAATAAAAATGAAACTCTTGGATATAAGAGAAGACCATTGAATATCCTGCTATTAAGCTGGCAAACTGCAAAGCCAAAGGACAAACCTCTCTCTCACACACACATTCACACATCTTACACACAGACTGAGCACTTTCCTCTCACCACATATTACTGTTCCAAAATTCAAGACATTATAAAAAAAAAAAGTGGACTTTGTGGCTAAAAGAACTAACAGAACATTTTGAGAGGATGATCAACAGTACAATGGTGACAATGAAGTTGCTAACATGTTGGTGAGGGGACGAGTGGGACGGAATTAGCTTGAAGACGGCGCTGCAAAAGCCGTGATTCAGATGGAGGAGACAGACCAAACATGTGTCCTGAGTCCAACGAATCTGTTGCAGCAGCTTTGCAGGAAGCCTTGTTGGGGTGGTATTCTTCTCGAGGTACAAGATCCATGTTCATGCTGAAGTGTTGAAGGACTACTCTATTCACAGCCATAGCACTCTCAGCAAATGCAGACAAATCCCTTGCGCTGTTGTTTCTACAATGCACAAGAAGAGATATTAGACCATAAAATTTTGATGCGCTAGCAAAATCAAAATGATCTAAACAACATACCGGCGAATTATATGTGGTGTGTAAAGTCCTCGAGAGGAAGGACTTGGCTGATTCCAAGGATGACTGAGAACGGAAGCAGCTGAAATTCTTTGCCTTGCCTCCTTCACAAGCAATCTTCTGATCAAATCTTTGGCATCTTCAGAAATAGTAGCCCACTCTCTTTCTGGGAAATCATAGCTACCTTCCTGAATACTAGTAAACAGAAGATCCTGAACAAAAAGCAAAAATTAGTAACCTGAAAGGTCAAACAAGCACCACATGATAAAAAATGGTTATGGGGTATTTTACCTGGCAAGCAGAACAATTGTCTCCACGTTCCCAGCCACAGTCCATGCCACAGTTGCCGTAGAAAGGTGGATAACCACACAGCAGGATGTACATAATGATACCGAGAGACCACAAATCACAGCGCTTGTCATAAGAATTTGCCTCTCCTACAAATGCATCTACGACCTCGGGAGCCATAAATTCGGCTGATCCCACAGGTGTAAGAAGCTGAGGAGTGGCAATAGGAGAAGTCAGAGCAGAGTTAAATTTGATGCCAGAGCCCAAGTCAAAGTCACAAATTTTGACAGGATTCAATTTTTCAGGATCAACACAAAGGATGTTCTCAGGTTTCAAGTCTCTGTGTGCAATACCTAAACAGAACAGAGTAATAAATAAAATGTTCAAAGTAGACACAAAATCAAAAGCAACTCAGATTAGTCTTTACCTTTCTTGTGTAAGAACTCCAGGGCACTAGCGAGATCACAGATTATCTGACTAGCTTCTCTTTCAGTGAAATGATTCCTCTCTTGAATTCGAGAGAGAAGCTGGCCTCCATTTATCTTCTCAAACACCAGATAGAATCTATCTTCATCTTCAAAAAATTCTATCAGTTGAATGATATTAGGATGACCTTGGCAATGGTGGAAAGTCTCAACCTCTTTGAAAACACGGCTTCTTGAATGGCCAGGAACTTTTTCTATCATCTTCACAGCATACTCCAAGTCAGTCCAAATGTTGACACAGGTTTGAACAGAGGCATAGGCTCCTTCTCCAAGAACTTCCCCAGTGAGCCTGTACAGATCTAGAAGACAAAATAAAATTGATAAATGGCACTAAACCACAGATAAGATAAAAAGGCTGTTAATACTGGAAAACTATCTACCTTGGAAACACGAGGACACAAGACTAGTGGCAGTCTTCTTCTTGCGTCTTTTGCGCCTAGCCTCCTCCTTACGTTTAGCGAGATCATCGCTACTTGGGGAATCTCGTAAAACAGACATGACTTCATCTAAAACAAAGAGAAATTTGCATTTTTAGAAACTAAAAAATCATATTTGATCACATCCTTAACATAGAGGACTGACTAGATGATAATGGTTTTTTGAAAGCAATAAAGAACAAATACTATAAAACTCAGAATGAGTTCAGAGCTTGGGTGAAAGGAGTGGGCGCATTCAAATTTACCGCGCCCGGCCGGCACACATACGGAGGCCGAGAGAAAGCGACGGGTGGCCTCCGAAATGCGAGGGGGTGGGAGTTTCAGTTTAGCCTACAAAAACAGTTTGAAAAATATACTCAGACTAAAAAGTGATGGGGAAACTAGCAACTGCTACGGAGTTTAATTGTGCAGTCGATAAATGTAAGTACGACATCGACATTCTCTTACGACAACCCAACACACCTGGAAGTGACACTTGCGGAAACAAAGAGTAGAGCTATTCGTACGCAAACGCGGGTATTGGGGAAAACCTTAAAGTTAAATTGGCAATCATAGGGCAGCATGAGCTCCAGCCATTGAGATCTGCGCTAGATAGGAAAATACTGGTCGAAGAGCGTCTTGCTACAGATCCTTTGTCCGAACGCGGAAGCATCCACCCTAATCCTGGACGCGTCGATAGCAGTCAGCGTAACGATTCAGGACGAAACTACCAGGACCAGACATAATTCGAAAGGAAGGCGTATGAAGCACTAAATCTTAACTTGCTTAAAAAGTTGATGGGAGATACTTACTCGTCTGAGCAGATGCGGCGTCCAATCCTCCTTGCTGCACTGCTCCCTCTAATATACTTTCCACCATTGTTTCGTCAAAGTTAATTAACACTCGAGTCAATAAATAACACAATAAATACAAAAAACTATCAACAAATAAATTAACGAATCACAAAGTAGCGGTAAGGTACTCGGAGTATATAAAGTTATATAAATCTTCTCGGGGCTCAGCAGGTCAGTACGGCCAGAGGTGGGTTGGGTGATGACTTGTCACTGCTCATATGGCCCCATATGACTGGAATCGCGTATCCTTCCACGGTGAGACGTGCGGCGAAATCCTTGGTCGTCACACTTCACACCGAATCCTTCCTCCTTCCCCTGCACAAAGCACTGGGCTTGACTGCGCCGACTTGCGCAAAGCTAGACCACACTCATCTCGCCTCTCTCACTGCCGAAAGCCGACTGAGCTGCAGAGTGAACGCCACGCCAGTTTATACTTGGGCCAAAGAGCCTCGCCTGGTCGAGCCGCCCAGACACTCCACTCGTACCACGTCGACGCGCAGGCGCTGTTGCTATCGAGCCCGGGCCGTGCGCAGCCAGCGAGACAAAGAGAAGCTGTCGGAGAGAGAGAGAGAGAGGGAGAGAGAGCGAGACAGGGGCCGGTCCGTGGGGGGTGGGGGAGTTGGGAAGAGAGAGGCGAGAGGGGGGGAGGGAGGGGCTTGTTTGGAAACAGGCCGGGAGACACGGAAAGCGATGTGCTTTGCGCAGCTTTGCCGCTTTGCCTCTGAGCGAGCCTCTGACTTGGCAACTCTGCAACGCGCCGGTGCGACTTTTGGGCCTCCACGTATGCGAGGGAAGTTCCATCGAGATCTATCTCGCCCGCCCGCGGTTTCACACAAAGCAACCGATGGTCACGTGTGTCCGTGTCCAGCGGCGGTGGTCGCGTGACGGACGTAATGACTTCGTCTCCGAAGAAGATATGAGGGAATAATATGCCGACCGGAAAAGTCACGTGGTCACACGTGCACAGTGACACACGAACATGTCTGGACGGTTCATCATATCTTTCGTTATATTCAATGTAAAGTTGGCGCAAAGCGCATTTTGCTTAAACTTGATTGAACATTGTGACTGCTTAAGACTTGAGGTAGGCCTTTATGGTCATTAAGGTTGGAAAAGTTGCGGGCCTTTTCTGGGCACAGGGCAACACGTCGCGCCTGGTGCTATGAAATGGTCGAAAGGCCCAGGCGCTGTCCTAGTCTAAAGTTTTTTAAAGAGAGAGGGAGAGGGAGAGACAGAGAGATTGTTTTGACCTTGGTTTTCTTTACTCCTCGCCACCCTCCGGACCCCACTTTGCCATGTAAGGTGCTCGCTTTCTCGTCCTCTATTGTTTCTACCCCTTCCAAACGCCCTTCCTTTGCAAATATTCTTCTGTAACTCCTCCCTCCTGCCCTCCCAGAAACTCTCTATCTCTGATTGTTTAGACATACCCTTCTGGCTGTCTCTACACTAGTGTCTCTACCCCCAGTAGCTCCAACCACATTAAATGCGCTTCAATGCGCATTGAGAGCACATAAAAGGTGACACATTGGTGACTCTTTTAAAGCGCATTACAGCATTTAATACGCATTTTCTGACTGCCGTCGTTCCAGTATAGGTTGGTGGCGTGCAGAGCAGACTGTCTGAGCTGACTGAACTGGCTGAAATGGATTAGGTGAGGGGGGGGGGAGTACTTTTATGGGTATTCTCGTGCGACTAGGGACGAGCCACAGAAGTCATGAGAGTGAGAGCTTAGAGAATGACAGGCTTCATGGAGGCGCGGTCCTGCTATGCGTCATCTCCTGCCGTCCCTGCTCAGCAGTGCCGCGTCGTGCGCGCGTGAGGGTGCGTGAGCATGAGCATGCAGGACGGGGAGGGAGGCTTTGTCGAGCAGGAGCAGGTGCACTCCGGCCGGCGCGGCCCCTTCCCCTTCCCTTCATGAGGTCCCCCATGCGGGCGAGGGCCTGCCGATCGCAGCTGATGCTGGCCATGCTGGTCTCTCCGTCCGTAACAGCGCTGCCAGTGTTGCCCCCCCCCCCATCCCTCCGATAAATATTTTGAATACAATCAATATCGTTTCGGCGCGAGATGCCCGAATGCCCGCTGTGAGGATGACATCAGCCAGCACGTACAGCTCCTGTAGGTTCGCAGCTTTATCGCGCGACTGGGCCTCACTTCTATCGTCCTATCGCCATTGCAGCCGCACGCTACGCACTTCCTTCAAAACATTCCCTCCTCCCCCTCCCCTTCCCCCTCTTCCGCGGATCCTTCCCTACCCTCCCTTTCCCTTTCCCTGCGGGCCGGCCCCGGGCCAGTCCATCCCAAGGTCAGCCCGTCACGGCCAAGGGCATGCTGCTGCGGTGGCGGGCGCGGCGGTCGCGGCGGCGGGGGCGGCGGTAGGGTTGGGGGCGGCCGAGGGGCGTGGCGGGGAGGGGAGGTGAGTAGAGCAGCCAAGCGTGGCACCGTCGATTTATACCGGCATTTCTATGCCTATCTCTTCTCTTTTCCCCGGGAGCCTTTCTTCGTCGTCCCTTCGCCC